GGGCATCACACCGGATTCTCGAATACTCGGAGATCGATGAGGAGATATTAAAGCTGCAATGCAGTATACATGCCCAACACTGATACAGCGTCCGAATTTAAACGAGGGAGACTTGTGGATAGATGAGGAGATATTAAATCCATGATGCAGTACACCTGCCTAGTCTTCAAGTTTACACGACAGGTGAGCGCGAGTTCAAAAATTGGCCAAAAAATAACGGCGCCAAGCCCTCTTCGACATATAAAAAGGAGATATCTGTTTTCTCCTTGATTTATCTACCTCCACTCGCTCATCTTCAAAGTTTCATCTTATAAGTGTCATGCCTCTCTTCCACGGCGCCAGTGGTATCAATATTCGCGAAAGTGAAATGAGCGATGTTGCCGGAAATCAATACAATGGCCGTAAGTAGTACATCTCAGCTTCAGATGGACCCACCATCCCATCTGACAATGATATCATTCAGAGACGAGGCATCATCAAGGGGATGTCAACCACGGAGATCAATTTCATGGCCCAGTCAGCAACCGTGGTGTCCTAGGTGTAAGAGGTAACAACGCGCGGCCCGTCGTTAACAATAATGGTAGCTCACCTGTCTCCTCACCGTTCATACGATCTGATAATTTCTTACTTTAGAGTCGAAAAGCCGGAAGCGGGCCCCGACACCGAAAGAGTCGGATTCGGACAATGAAGATGAAGACGAGGATCCAGCAATGGCAAATATGAAGCGGATGCTGGACGAAGCGTGTAAGGAGCGAGATGAGGCTAGAGCAAAGTGTGCAGATTTGGAGAAGCAGCTCCAGCTGGCCCTCGCTCCTAAGAAAACTTCAAGATTTGGCCGCAAAAATTGAGGATTAGACATACGGATAATTATTAGTGTTACCACCAATTTTTTTCGAGTATATGTATGAGATACTAGCTGGGAGCGATGAATTAAATTGCTAAAATTTTCTTACTAAATGCCAAGGAGTTAAATCATGCAAGTTAAAGCAAATAGAGCATTGTCGTAGGGAGAAATTCCGAGGGATGGGGAAACCATTTTCCAACGTGTATATCGATTTATTCCACTAAACATAGACAATAGCCAACAGTGCCATTATGTGAATGTTTTCATTCTAGCTGTTTGCATCTGATTCATAATATCTCCCAGATAGCGGGCAAGATCCCGTTCTCTGCATCCATAGAAATAAACCACAGAATTGCCGACCACTTGGCTTGCGGAGGGAATTAGAAGAACATAAGATGGGAGTGGCATGCAGGAGTGGACAAGCTGTTAGGGAGAAAAAATTATAATCCACCATGATTGTACTCAATATAAATAGATTAAGTCACGGCGCAAGTGATCATGCGCTGGCCTTTTAGCCAGGGTACGTTGTATTCAGAGAGCCGTGACAAACAACGCTTCTACGTTTTAACTCACGGATTTGTCGGCCATTCTTGAATCTTGTGCCATCTCCCGGCCAACATTACGGTCTTCACCCTGGCTACTCAAAGTGGGAGTCGTGATGACTATAAGCTGTGAATATATGACACTGGTGAGCAGACGAATCTTTTATCTGAGTGAGCCGTATTTCCAACAGCCTAGCCTATGGCACACCAACTAAGAAAACTGGTCCAATTCCTGCTGAGGCAGGCTAGTGTAGTCTTTATAACACCATGGTTGTATCCATAAGCGATGAGATGTAGGCACTATCTCGCTAAAAACATCCGTCCTAGTAGACGTAGAGACAAAGATCCTGATAAGCATGAAACAAAACCGAAAGACATTCATTAGTAATAAAATAAGCAGCCCTAAACGGTATGTTTTTATGGGTAAACATCATATCGTACCCCCACCACCCACTTCCACACACACCCTACACATTCCGATCCAACACGCAGTCGGCATCGGTGCACAGCGCCCACTGACGATCATGCACTCTCGGGTACTTAAACAGTCCCCGAAGAAGTAATGGTAACCTTCTTCGTAGGCGCACCGCTATCGGTGCCGGTACTCTCCACTGTCTTGACGACCTCCATACCTTCGACGACTTCACCGAAGACGACATGGCGCTTGTCGAGCTACGAAAAGAGGGATTAGCGGTTGCGTTACGGAGGTACTAGCGTGGATACGGGCAAGAGAGGTACTCATGGAAGGGAAGGAAACGGGCAACGGGAGGGGGCGGAGAAAGGGTAAAGACACTTACCCAAGGAGTGGTCACGGTCGTGATGAAGAACTGTAATAAACAGAGGTCAGCGGGGTTCAATGGAGAGGCAAGTGAACTGAGGCGAGAAAGCGAGAAGCAAAAGAGGTTTAGATATTTCGATGCTGGGGTTCAGCATAAGTAACATGGATCAGCACAAATCCAATCATCAGTGGCCACTCGCTAAGCCACTTCAGCCACAAATACAGCCCATGAAGTCGACCACTACTGTGACTAGCTCATCGCGTGAGCTCGGGCATGGTCAACAAGACCCCAACCATGCCACGGTTCAACCAACGTCAAACACATGAACCCAATATCCAATACAATGGTTCAACATCCACAACCTGAGCTTAACCATCATGCCGAGCTCATATAAACACAAAAGGTCGACCAACAGACCAATGAGCTCGATAGGTTCAACATACAGAACTCGAGTTCAACCGATGATGAAGCCAACAATGACGAGCACCACAAGCATCGCTAGCACCTATTGAGCTAAGCTGTCAAGGTAAAACAGCAACATCTAGCGTACGATCAATGCCCGCAGTCGAAACGGATACCAGCAATGGAAAGGAAGGGGACGACCTGCAGCCCCCACCCAGTACAATGAGTCTCATCGATACTTTCACAGAACAGACCAACACCGAGCCAAAAAGGAAAGAAAGAAAAATCAAATAAAACCAATAGAACGAACCTGAGATCCATTGGTATTAGGTCCAGCGTTCGCCATGGAAAGGAGTCCGGGGCGGGTGTGCTTGATGTCAAAGTTCTCATCTGCGAACGGGTGTCAGTACGTGCATGACGGGGTTTCGGGGAAAGGAAGAGAATCAGGAAGAGGGAGTGGAGAAAGAAGAATGGGGCATCGAAGGGGCGAGGAAGGGGTGTGGTGAGTAGACGGACGACTCTTAACCCCAGAGATGTCGAAGATGATGTAGAAGAGATGAAAGGCCACATAGTCCTCACAGCGCAAGGTTGACAGGTGGAGCTCGGCTACGATGTGGTAGGATCGTAGTCACGTCTGCTAGAACAATGGATGATGGCTTGGTAGCTCTTCGCTTTGCCAACAGGGCACGATCCGGGTGTAAGAACCCACACATGAGAAGTCAATGCATGTAGCATGCTCAAAGAGGCAAAACTCCCTTCGCTTCTGTGGAACGAGGAGGTAGGCCGAGCTCAGCCAAACCACTTCATAAAGATGAATGAAAGCTGCAGAGAAGAGAAAAATGAAGGGGTGTGGGTGTCCATTGGATGTAAACAGCAAATCTCCCGTCTCGATGATCCCAGGCCTAGGCAGAGCGGGTCAGAGTCCTAAGCGTCCGACTACCAGGGCTACGAATACTTAACCCCATGCATTTGGGTGCCCTCAGCCTGCGAATGATGCGTTGTTCCAACTAACGGAACAGCCACGTCCAAAACCAGAACGACAAACACGCGAACGACCCCCATTGCTCGTCCTATGTACATACGCATCCCCCACAAGTCGTAGCGCAACCCGTTTAGGTGGACACACAACTGGAAGGCCACCAACCAACCCGACATGATTCATTCAACTCAACTAGAGGTCCGCGGCACCAAGTCAATGTGCAACACTCAAGCTCTGGCCATCTGGCGTATGTGGGAGAGTCCGTCAGACTCTACGCTCAGAGCAGCTCCATACCACGCCCAGAGAAGTTGGACTTCTACCGTGAAGACCCTGGCTCCACTGAAGGGGTGTGCGCGAGTCGAGAGCAGATACAACGCAGGGATCAGTCCCTGTTCAGGGACAGAAAGCAGCGACTAGCAAGACCGCAAGGACCAGCACTAACTGCTGGCGAACCATCTTCCTCGATGACAGAAAACGACAATCACTCACCAGAGAACTTCTCTCCGTAGATAGACTTGCCGCCGGTACCGTTATGGCGTGTGAAGTCGCCGCCTTGGAGCATGAACTATGAAATACAGCGTCACACTAGGCCGTCAGAGCATTCATAGTTACGCGGGACTCACCTTAGGAATGATCCTATGGAACGAGCTGCCAGCATATCCAAATCCATGCTGTCCAGTGGCAAGCTCGCGGAAGTTACGTGCCGTTTTGGGGACGGTCTCGTCGTACAACTTGAAGACGATGCGGCCAGCGGGTTTGGCGTTGATTGCAATGTCGAACTACTCAACGTTCAATGGGTTCAAAATAACATTAAATCGACAAGGCGCGACTCACGAAAACATTCGACCTATCGAGCAATTTGGCGGCGGGGGCAACGTCAGTGGAAGAATCGAGGAGAGAACTATTGAGCACAACGCCAACGGGGAGGGCAGAAGCGGCGAGAACGAAGTACATGTTTTTGCCGGCCGAGGCCGCGGTGGTGAAACGCCGGAGGAAGGAGGCCATCTGAGTGTAAGATGCCAGCGAACGGCGGGAGAAGGTGACGAGGAAGACAAGTGCGCCGGCGAGGACAGCGAGGACAGGTGGAGAAGGTTGAAGACAACGGCGAGAACGACGGCAAAGAGAGCGAGGACAGTGGCGAGGATGAAATGTCAACAATGCTCCCTATTATAGTAGTATATGCATACCTTTGAATATGAATGGATTATAGACGAATAAAAAGAAGGTAGCAAGTTGTGGAGGAGGAAGCAAAGGTGAGAACGCGACGCGAGGGACGAAACGGGACGAAAAAGTTGGTTGTGGGATTACGTTAGCCAAAGGGAGCACGTGCCGCGATTTGGAACGCGTTCTCATTTCATGAACGCGTCCCGTCCACTGCTCAGCGCTCTTCGGTGCTCTTTCTCAGGCCAAAGAATAAGATGGAAGCAAAATTACATTTTTTGGGAACTCAATATAGGTCCTACCCGGGATTGAACCGGGGTTCTGAGAATATTGACCAATTGTTGCAAGCACGAATATCAGAATCTCAAGTGATAGCCACTATACTATAGAACCATAATGTAGCTGTGTTGGTCCCCTATGTTCCATAGTGAATTTTGTTGGAAATATGGATGGATGAGTGCCATCTTCCAGTGAAGTCTATATAAGAAACAACCTCTTCACGTACGCCGATATGATCATATAACCACGCGTGACAATATCTACGCAACTAAGTGCTCCGCTAACAACTACTGATCTTCGATTGATGTAAAGGAGATCCAAATATTATGTATGAATAGCTCTGCAATTTAAAATATGATCATATACTTTCATTTATGGGCGAACGGTAAGTAAAGACACTCTTTTCTCACTAAGCATGCACCCTGATTCTCAACAAGCAAATCCTAAAAACGAATGAGATGGAACAGTTTATATCATTTCTTAAGCTGAGTTCGCAAGCCAAATGATAAACTTCGACCACTCCAAAAACAAAGTTTAAGAGCGAGCAAGGTCCTACCCAGGATCGAACCGGGGTTCTGAGAATACTGACTTATCGATGCTAAACACATCAGAATCTCAAGTGATGGCTACTACACTATACAGTAGAACCATAATGTATCTCTGCTATTATCTCTGTGTTCCTTAGTAGCATTTGGAAGGATTGATATAAAAATATTCTGTTGAAGTCTCTATAAATAAATAACCCATTCACATATACACATTTCAGAAATGATAAAAAAAAATCAACGATTCAAAAAGCTGAGAAAATTCGTCTTAAAGGTCCTACCCGGATCGAACTGGGGTTCTGAGAATGTTGACCATTATATGCTCTACATATCAGAATCTCAAGTGATGGCCACTACACCATAGAACCGCAATGTACCTCTGCTATTGGCCTTGTGTTACTTAGCAGTTGAAAGGATTGATGTAAAAATACTCTGTCGAAGTCTCTATAAATAAATAACCCATACGCATACACCAATTTTGGAAATGATAAAAAGTCGACCATTCAAAAAATTTTAAAACACTATACACAAGGTCCTACCCGGGATCGAACCGGGGTTCCGAGAAATTGTTTAATATCAAAATCTCGAGTGATAACCACTACACTATAGAACCATGCTGTACGACGCATAAGAGGTAATCGCTAGCACTTAGGATAATGGTCTGAGTCATTAGTTTTGTACGACTCAGTTCTACGAAACTCTTTTCCAAGTATCGAGCTGTGCAAAACACACCATCATACCTACGGCGTAAATAACTCGTCAAAGGGAAATGAGAAGCCTAATTCAACGGTTTCCGCATAGCTAGCGACGACTCTTTCTTCGCTGGGTATGGAGTGTCGCAACACATGTAATTCTGGCGAGCCGAATGAGCCTGTCAAATGTTGGTTGAACTTTATCTCGCAACGAACATATATCCAAATAATATTCCACTTACTCTCATATATTAGTATATCCGAATGCCTCCGCACCTTCCTACACCAATACAGTATAATTGTGACTCATACTACCAGCGGCCGAGCCATGTGGGGAAATAGTTCTATGTAGTTATAGAAGGTATCACACTGAGCCGAATGAACCCTGGAGACACTGACCAACGCCAAGTCAATAATCCGCAAGAAGCAATGGTTCGACATGAAATAAAAATCACGCTCTTTACTTTTTTTATAGGTCCTGCCCGGGATCGAACCGGGGTCACGAGAAATCTAGACAGATATCAGAATCTCGGGTGATAACCACTACACTACAGAACCGTCAGCTACCGGTGGAGCTATGAGTACTTAGCCCACTGATTAGTCATCATCACGAATCTTGAAAGTAGCCAATAACCCGGAAAGTAAGTAATCAATGCTATAGTCTTGCATGCCATTCATTAGAAAGATAAGCAGGTATCACTCAGCGCTCTTTCCACAACGACGAAGGACTACGCGTATAGGTTCTATAGTGTAGTGGTTATCACTCGAGATTCTGATCCATGGCTTCCACTTACGTTTGCTTTCTCGTGACCCCGGTTCGATCCCGGGTAGGACCTATAAAGATGTATGTGATCTCTTTTCCATGCGGAACTTTTGGTGCTTTTCCCACTCTGCTCGGCCGTTGAGGTAGTACGAGTTAGTTATGCTGAACAGTACTTGTTGGTGTGGGCAGACATGGAAGCACAAACAAGATTTTATGGGAATTGAATTTACCTTAACAATACTAGATTTGAAAAGAACCCTTGTCTATAAGTATAAGCATCTGCGAGTTAGGCGAAAAATGAATTATGCATAGCCTACCCGTGGCTTGAGTGAATCTAATCCTTCATAGTGTTAACTGGAGCCTATTAAGCTGGGTATGAAAGTTATGGCTCAACGGTTCTGTAGTGCAGTGGCTTATCACTGGAGATTATGATGAATTTAGGATTTCTGCTTTCCTTTCTCGTAACCCCGGTTCGAACCCGGGCAGGACCTTTGGCCGCCAGTATTGCTTCCATATTTTATTTTGCTTGTGACATTAGTATAAGAAAATGATATATCAGCAGTTCCATCTCATTTATATTTGCTCATTGAGAATCTAAGTGAACGGCTGGAGTACCACTAAGAAGGGGGTATTGGGAAGAATGAAGCGAACAATAGGGGGCGTAGAAAAGTAGAAGAGTGGCTTATGGACTCGGAAGCAGCGTTTGAAAAGATTTGCAGTCACGTTTTATCGAAATTGTGAGCTTTTTGCCACTGTCCAAGGCTCTTGTAAAATTTAATTTGAAGTCTTCCTTTCAACAATTCATCTTTGCAATAGGTGGCGCAGACCATCTGCTAAGTCATCGTCACTGAATATCATATTTAGCAACACTAGGTCCTAGTGCAAGTAAAGGTTCTGCTCTTCGAAGTGGGAGTATTGTTAACCGTATACTCTAGGCTACATACAAACAAGATGTTGCGCGATCTGAAACCTTACTAACATTACTAGATTGAGAGAAAGCTTGTCTATCACTTAAGAATCTGCGAATCAGGCAGAAATAAATAATGAATATTCATAACTAACCCTTCGCTTGGCCGAATCTCACTATTCAATGTGTATGCTAGAGCCTGAAGGCTAGGTATAAAACTTATGAGTCAACGGTTCTGTAGTGTATTGGCTTATCACTCGAGATTTTGATCTGTGGCAATGTGAAGTATTTCAGCTTTCTCGCAACCCCGGTTCGAACCCGGGTAGGACCTCTCGCCTACTACTGCTTTCGGTAAATTTTATTTCATTTGGCTTGCGACATCGGTGTAAGAAAACGACATAGACGCAGTTCCAACCTATTTCATAATCCAGTCAGTGAACGGTTGAGATAATATGGGACAAAGAAGTGAATAATCAGCAGAGGATGTATAAAGCAGAATAGTTTACGGTTAGATATGGGTTATTATTTTTACCCTTTTCTTACAGGAAGCCCTGAATTGTCCATAAAATCATCTTTAGGACCAGCATATGAAATGCTTGAGTCAAGTACTGTAAAATATGTTAATATAAAGATGAGCCTTGGATGACCATGTTCGAACATCAAAAATAAGCATAAGAGGAGCATCACCTTAGTAGTAGAGAGAGCATTGAGTCCAGCTGCTTTCTTTCTTCGTTAATGATTTTACATACCGCTGTACCAGTACTGTAATTATCTTCTTTCTCATTTAATGTTAGTCATAGATCGTCACAGTTCAGATTCTTAATCTTATCTTGACATGCTCGGCTAACTTTGCGAATTTCAACATTGTTTCAACAACTACTTATTTTAGTTACAGTCGACCTTCTCATAACGTATAACGCCGGGACCAGACCTTTTTTAATACATTATGAGAAGTATACGTTAACAAAGACGTGTGACAAAGTAACAGCGTGTGACACCTTCTACGTTAGGAAGTGTGAGAGCATCCCCAAAATGCTTCCAGCGCAACCTGTTTCGCCGTCGTCGTCTGCAATTGCACTAGATGTGCTCGATACTGGCACAGAGTACGAAATAGGCCCAACGCAGCATCAAAATCTCCGTGTCTGATATACAACGTTTCCATCGTCTTACACATTTCAATCACACCTTTGGTTGACACTTCTGGCACCTCGTCCTTTTCTTCCCAATCATCGTCATCCAATTCATCGTCAGTTTCGACATCCATTGCTCGGCCCTCCTGAACTGCAATCTGATGGCTGACCACCTTAACAATCTCGTCATCACCACCCTCAAACCTATATGGTGAGTCGCCAATCTGTAACTCTTCAACAGGGTTTAACATTTCTTCGAGAGACAGGGCAGTTCCAATGATACGCCTTCGAGAATGTAGCTGATCAATAGCAGCCAATAATGCTGTTTCTGCCTCTTCAATCTGCTGAGGACGTCCTTCAGCAAGAATTCTGGAATTGTTCGGGATGGGAGGTTCCACAAGGGCAAGGTTTGCTCGTACTCTGGTAAGTCGTTCTATGGCCTCCAGTGCAACAATTGAATCATTTTCGGCATCCATAACAGCTTTTAATGCAGGACGCCAGTCTTCATCAATGTAACGAGCACCTAGCACAGCCTGTAAACGACTTTCGGCTTCAGGCAATCCCATTGGCGTGGAAGCAAATGCACGCATGATTTCCCATCCCTTTGTTATGAGAGGACATGCTGGCATTGGATGGGTCGAAGTGGAAATGCTCACTGCAGCGGAATTGGGGGTTGTCGAGGTATGAATTGGTTGAATCTTTGTATGATCCCAGCAGTGTTTGATAGTCTCACCCGAGACATCCTCCCAGGCTTCTCTGACCATGAGCATAGCTTCGAGTAGGTTAATCTTGTAAATTTCATGCTCGTCGGCATCATCAAGCGCAATCGCTCGAAGGCAGAAACTGCGCCGGTAGTGTGCCTTCATGCATCAGATTATTCCTGCATCACATGGCTGAACATGGGAGGTAAGATTTGGCTCGAAGTACTCAAGCCGTATGTTACGTGGTTGATAGTCTATGTAGTGGCCTGAGAAGTTATCAATAAGCATGATTATGTTTCGATGTGTGCTGCGCATTATAACATCTATGGACTTGATCCACCTGTAAAGTATTAACAATACAGATTACATATTTAATTTAAAGACAACTCACTCTTCGAACAATGCTGCAGTCATCCATGCCTTTTTATTGTTACGATAATAGAAGCCACGGTCTTTTGGGGACTTTTTCTTAAAGCAGCGTGGGTTTTTTGACTTTCCGATAAAAAAAGAGAGGCAACTTCTCACTGCCGTCAGCATTGCAAGCAACACCAACTGTAATTTGAAATTTATCCTTTTTCTTGCCACTCATCTGCTTTGTGGCAAGAACACAATCAGGTGGGCACCTGGAGTTTCTTTTAGCAGAAACATTAGAAATATTGAAATAAGCAACTTACATTGGGAAAAACCCTGTCTCGTCAAAATTGAACCTGTCTTTAGGGGCGTAGTTTGCAAGAATTGCTTGAATTTGGACACGTTCTGCTTTGACAGCTTTCTGATCAACTGATCCAGCTTCTCCATGTCTTACGTGCTCCTTAAGTTTGTATGCCCTCTTAAACGAATCAACCCATTTATCTCCACAAAGGCGTTCATTATTAGGAACATTAAATAGCTCCTCGAAGACCCCACGCTTAGCTGCAAGCATAGGCCCAGTGATACCCTCTCCTTTCTCTTCCATGTATTTAACCCATAAAAACAATGCCTTCTCAACATCAGGACGTGTCACAACACGTGGTCGTTTTGATGAGAGTGCATTTGGGTTGTCATTGACGCGTTCCTCCAAGATTGATCGCTTCTTTAGGTTGCGGGAGAGGGTGGCCTGCGTGAATTTCAAAGCCCCTTCAACACAAGTAGCAAAATACTGGACGACATCACCTTGAGAGAGGTCAGGATGCTCGTTCATGAAGGTGAATACAGTCATCCAGTCGTGCAGGGTGAGGTTGTCGCACTTTCCCTTTGCTTTGATAGGCTTTGCAATTGCAGAAGACTTTGGAGCATCTTTGGGCACTTTATGTCGTGGCTTTTGACACTGATAGGGCTTGACATTGGAGCGAACTTTACGCATAGAATTGTAAGACATACTGCTGGCAAAGGATGGGATAAAAAGAATGAATATTCCACGCTGTCACATTAGATGTGTATTTACTGTTTATAATGCCGATTCTGCCGAGATATGCCTTCAAAACGCAGATAGATGGGTTGCTATACACCAAAATGGCAATAAGTACCCCCCCTAATAATGTATAATCTCAAATCTTCCCTATACATTATACGATATGCACGGCACCTGCTCCCCAACGTGGTTCCGGCCCCAAACCCATACATTATGAGAATTATACATTATGAGCATATACATTATGAGAAGGTCGACTGTAGTTGTTTTACCATTTCATGTCGCTGTTATCCTATAATGCTACCAATTATGTACATGAGAGAAAGAAGAAGCAGTTTCAAGGAGGTACGTTAACATATTAAATGATTCTGTTAAGTCGAGAGCATGTTACGTTAGTGTGATGCACATGTACTCGGACATTAGTGAGATAAGTTGTTCGAACATATTTCACTGCAGGAATATGAGCCGTACGCAACCGTATTATACGGCAACCATACGGGTGGAAACCGTACCGTAAACCGTACCGTAAACTGGACCTAAAATCTGTCGACGATACGGTATACGAGATGTATTTATGGGTACCGTACAACCCGTAAATACGGTTACGGTTGGCAGCCCTAATAGTTAATAGTGACTAGTGGCTCATGGAATCAGGTCTCGAAAAAATACGCAACCACTTTTTATCAGAATTACTCTTGTAAAATTAATTTGAAGTCTTCCGTTCAACAATTTGTCCGTGGGACAAAATCGCGTCCTGAGCGCGTCTTTTGTCATGGGCTATTTACAAACCTGCGATTTGTGACTAGTAGGTGGTACAGACCATTTGCTGAGTCATCGCTGTCAACAATTATGAGAGCGCATTGAGTTATCTGGCAATAGGTCCTAATGCAAATAGAAATTCCGCTCTTCACAGTGTTAGATGCTTTTTCTTTCTATCTTGTTCTTCCTAATATTGTCCTCATTCCATCTTCCTACGTATTTATTCTGCAACATTTATGATGAAGCATATAGGTCCCTAACTGTAGAATTTGACGTGAACCCGAGATCGTAAGCTTGACAAATGGCCAGAACACTCGCACGGTCGAGGCGCCGGCGAGACCACTCGGGGACACTGCGTCCTATTGCCTGGAGTGTGGAAGGCGCACATCCTCGACGTCGCTTCCCTGTGTATATCTGCTGGAACTACGATCTGCGCTGTCAATCAGACCTAGGAGTACCAACCTGGACGGTGCAGGACTTGTCTAGCTCCGTTCCTCTTCCTTGTACCACCGCGAGCCTGCTGTCCAGAATGAACGTCGGCGGAAAGATCTGAAAAGTGCTTGATGAAATCTCTAGTACTTTACAGTACTTAATGCGACTTGCATATTGACATGAGAGGTATCAACAACCAGTACCTACATCTACCTCATTCTTTCTCGTCCCTCTATAACATATGTCGACTTCAGTCACCCGCCTCGCGCCTATTCTACAGAGTATCAGGACTCCTCTCTCTGGTCAGCGTCTCGTAAATCCGCAGATTATCGCCAAGAGATACGCACACAGCTCACCTAACGCTGCTGGGTACCATCAACCCGTACGTTCTTGGCTTATATTAACCTTTACTTCGGAAGCTAATCGCCATGCTCTCCAGCCCGTCCCATTCTCCTGTACGAACCGTAAAGCACTCGCATTCAAGTTTTTGGCGTATTTGGGAACAGGATTCTCTATTCCTTTCATCGCCATCTGGTGGCAATGGTATGCATATCTTCCTCATCGACTCGACAACATTCAAACCTCTTATTTTGAAGGAATCGCCCGGGCGGAATTCATAACCCTTCTGGTTGATTAATTCAACGTTTGAATTTCCTAGCTTCAGCGAGCAGTGTCGATGTACGATGTAGGTTCTCAATTCGAACTGCTGTAACGTGATATTGAAGTCGAATTTCAGATCATATATCCTAAGAATAAACTTATACCTATTATCTATTAGAAGTTGGACAAAAAACAAATCCTCGAGTAATGAGCTTGCTCTATTTTAGAAAGAAAGCGAGCATCGTTAAAAAGCATGATCATACGATGGCTTGCAAAGGGAGGCAGGCCATGTGGGAAATTCTCAACGTCTGCTTCCAAG